TCAAACAAACTCACAAGATTGTTACTTGAGCCAAAATGCCAACTTCTAGAGCCTCCTCTTTGTTAGTTCATCCAGGCTGTAATAAGAACTTGTACCCATAACCCCTACAGATTCATTTCTCTAGGGAATTAGCATCCCTTGGGTCTGTTGTCTTTCTCCTCCGGACATTGCTATAAAAACATTCCACAGTCTTGTTTTTTGTGTCTTCATATTATGAACTATATACAACTATAAAGAGCCCTGGCAACAAAACATTTTTAAGCACTCTTTGCTCTTGGAAATGTTGGTAGTTCAAACCCAACCACAGACTCTACAGGAAAAAGACCTGTCATCTGACTCTGTAAAAATTACAGCCCAGCAAACCCTACAGGTCAGTTCTCCTCTGCCACATGGCGCCACTCTGAGTTGGATTGAGTTGACTGCACTCACAACTCACAAATCATGTACCACCCTTTCTCTTCACTTTTGACAGAGGACCTTGAAATTAGCTGGCCTATAATTTAGGCCATATTTTCCTGAAATAGTTTCAAGGTTATCTTGTTTGGAATGTAGGTATTCTCGAAACTTCTCAGGGTCCTCAGTTGGATAACACATAACATTCACTTTTCCAAGTATTTATGAATAGCTGATATTGATAATTTTTTTTAATATCAGGACCAGCTTTATAATGAGCTCCTATAACATATCAGAATCATGGCTGCTGACATCCAAAAATAATAGATCAATGAAGCATGGTGAAAGATAAAATTCTAATATGCTGCCTTATCGATGGATTAAGGAAGCTTACTGAACAAACTTGTTTCAGCATAGTAGACAAGGGGATCACATAGTACAGAGAAATGCTACATGGACAGAAAAATGTTAACATTTTTTGATAAAGACTAAGAAGGTCACTCATTCACTCATATTAGTGACCATATGCCATGTGCCATGTGCCTCACTTTTAGTTCTGGAGAGACAAAAGTCAACTCTCATCTCCTAGAGCAGAAAGGCAATAGAAAATCTGAAAACGAAAACATGTAATGCAGGTTTCTATCACTGTAAATCATGTTGCAAATAAAAATAAAGAACAGTCTGCTAGTCTAGAGAATCATATATGCTATCAAGCACTTGATTTTGTTTGGGCAAATGGGGAAAGTCCCTCAGAAAGGCTGATTTAGAAGCTGGGAAACGAAGTGCGAGTAGAAGTTGGCATTTGAAGAATAAAGGACGAGCATTCTAAGCAGAGAGAACCGAACGCGAGCATGTCTAGGAAAACTAGAGGTGTTCTGCGTCAATATTTAGGAGGTGAAGAAGGCCCAAAAATGAGACCAAGAGGAATGAGAGCCTGGAGACTCCATTAAGTTTAATTTTACTTTTGATCACTTTAAGCAGGGCGGGGCCATGATACGCTTTACAGTCTCAAGCAAGGAGACAGGTTAGGAAGTTATCATAGGAGCTCATGTGATGGTGTCTTGAATTAGAGTCACCGTAATAAAGTGAAGGGAGTTTTCTGATTTTTTTCCCCTAAACATAATCATAGCGCTTCCAGTGTGGTAGCTTTAAGCTTTGCTTTTGAAACAGCAGGACCAATTTTCTGAATGAAATCCCATTATCTAAAACAGAGGGAAGCAGAACTTTGATGATTGATAGGTCAGCATTCCACTGTAAAGCTTTATTCCTTTGCTATGCTGTGGTCCTACCGACAACTATTCACAACCACGATCCCTACAATATACTTCAAGAACTATGGATCTAATTCAAATCCACCAGTTGATAGCTGAGGTAATTGATCCAGTATTATTTTTCCTGCACGCCAGAGGAAAGAGTAAGACGTTGAAAGCTGGTACGATCGTCAGCAGGGTGTCCAAAACCTAACCCCACCACTATCAAGTTGATTCCTGAGGCTTTGTTGTTCTTTAAAGAAGCCTCATCTTTCTCCCGTGGAGAGGTGGATTTGAGCACTTACCAAAGCACTATCAGGGCTTTTGGTTAGCATGATACAAACTCTGCCATGGAGTGGATGCCAACTTACAGTGACCCCATAGGACAAGTACACCTGCCCCTGTGAGTTTCAGAAACTGTCACTCTTTATGAAAGTAGAAATCCCCCTCTTTCTCCTGTGGAGCTGTTGGTAGTTTTGAACTAATGACTTTGTGGTTAGCAGCTCAACGTATAGCCCCTATACCACCAGGGCTCCTGGTTAGCATGATAGTAAGGGGAAAATGTGAATCAGTGACGAACCATGGAATAAAGTCCTTGAACGTAATACACTCCTAATAAATCAGATGTGCATTTTCTGACTTTATGGTAAATGAAATGGAGAAATAGTCAACTCTACTTGCAAGGTTTGGTTGCTCACTATTAGTTGAGCTCAGTTCTTCCCAAATGTCTCTCGCGTTCTTTTCATATTAATGATAAGGGGACACATAGACACCCTAATTCCACGTAAGACGCTGCGTATCTTCTGCCCACATTTTATTGGTAAAAACACACTATAGTCCAGGTCCAAAAAGAGGCCTGTCAGGGAGAGGTACAAATGTCCCTGTTTGTGAGAAATTGCAAATTTACATGGTGACGGACAAGGACATGGGGACGGATGAAGAAATT